TCACGTTTCAAATCGCCCATCAAGCTCGCGGATGGACGCAAGGACGCCTTACTCCCGCCGCTTGAGGTCACTTTTCCACTACCACCAATAGACTGACTGCGTTGTCGTCGGGAACTGGAGGAACTGGTGGATCGCCCTCTCAGCCCTTCGGTTGACATGCTTCGTCTGCTTCGCTTTCCGGGGCTAGCCAGTAAAACTTCTGCAGCAGCTCCACTACTACCGGGTGCATTACTACCACCACCATTAATCCCTAAAATGCGGCCAAGACCGTTAGTCGCAGCACTATTGTGGTTCGAGGACGCGACCCCACCGATTGCGGAATTATCACCTGGGCCACCATCGGGTGTATCCGGAGGGATCGTTTGCGCTAGAGAGGGGACCGAACCGTTGATGGTATTATCGAAGGTGAAGGTAGATTTAATTCCTTCACTCATCATACTTGGTGCGAATACGACCGAGGAGTAATTGGAGCTCGAAAAGGAGGTCAGTCCGACGAGCTCGTGGCCAGGCTGTTGGCTCTGGCTCTGTGAGAAGGACCGTTTGGGTCGCCGTAATGTATGCGAAAGAGAGAGCTGATATCGACGGCCTCCCCATATTTTTGTCAGCATGTGGAGCTTGACTTGGCCTACGGTCCAAGCGCGGTCGACTCGCGTGGTCAGCCATTGGTCAGTGGGAACTAGAGACGTGAAAAGTAGAAATTCCGTGAGCTGGATGTACTCTTGTATCGTTTTTGGGCACAAGATAAGTAGGGCGCGCATACGTACTGAAACGGCAAGCCAGGGTCATCTCCCTGTAGGCCTCGATAGGAGCTCTGACGCCCGGAAACAAGAATGGGTTCAGTAGGGGGAAGGGAGGAGGTCCTGGTTCATCGTCTGATTTCTCTGCTTGTCGTTGTTCGTGTTCCAGTTCCAGTTCTAGATCGTCCTCATCCTCTTCGTCTTCTTCTGCTTCTTCTTCGTGGTCGACGTTGTCGGGCCTTCTTGTATTAGCCGGGTGAGGGGTCTCTGCTCCAGATAGAGCAAAGTCCTGGAGGATTTGTGCGAAATGGGATGGGTGCGATGAGCGATGTCAGCGAAAAGGGGTGGCTACAGAATGGGATATCGCGAGCACGTACAGAGTCGCTGTCCGAGTCTGAATGATCTGAAGTGTTGGACACAAATTCGTCGGTCTGGATAGTTGATAGGTCAGCCGAGGCAAATGGGTGGGATTGACCGCCTGAGGAGGTCGAAGCCTGCTCCATGTACAGGCGGGACGAGAGAGGAGAATTGGACCGTTTTTGAGTCGGGTCTTGGGGGTAAAGGGAGGGGAAT